GCTCAAGGGTGCGTCCCTCTGAGCAAAGCTTCCCTTGGAGGCTGAGTAGGGATGGCAGGAGGTCCAGGGAAGGGAACCCGAGCTGTGCTTGAGCAAGAACCAAGAATCCAAAGCCCGGAGCTATGGAAGGAGCTGGCTCGTTAGCCTTTGACTTCCCACCCTGCTTCCTGCACACCTGTCTCCTCTGCCTCCAGCCAAGGACACAGCTGTCCCTACCCAGGGCTACCTACCCACACATGAATTAGTCAGCTGCTTTCCCCACTCTGGTCACTCTAGTGGCTCAAGCATTTGTTGCTGTTGGCTCCAAAGGAAGCCGTGGATCCATTCCCGGAGTCCACCCCAGTATCTGTCACACACAGCCACAGTTTTGAGAAACTGCTTATTTCTAAGAGGAGTCTGGAGGAAACTGGGGACAAATGGCAGGTTTCTGCATTCTCTAAACACTGTTGACCCAGTGAGTGCCTGCTCTAGGCTAGCCACTGCAGGGTGCTGGGCATGTGTGTGTTACTTTTCTCATGGCTGGGACAAAATAGCTGACAAAAGTAACTTAAGGAAGGGAGGATTTAATGTTGCCTGACAGTTTTAAGGGACACCCATCCTAGCGGGAAGGCATGTTACAGGACCGTGAAGTGGCTGGTCTCCTTGCATCTGCAGGCAGGAAACAGGTGCTGTCGCTCAGCTTGCTGCCTCCTTTCCCCCTCTTTATTTAGTCTAGGGCTCCAGGTCCTCCTGGGAGACTGCTCACTTTCAGGGTGAGGGTCTTCCTTTCTTTGCTCTACCTCTCAGGAAACACCTTCACAGACATTCCTTCTGAGGTGTGTTTCCATGGAGACTCCAAGTCCAGTCAAAGTGGAAGGCTGACCGGCCAGCATCAGAGGGCACAAGCTGATAAACATGTACTGGGACCCACCTCTCCACACCTACTTCCAAATATGCCTCTGCTCTTCAGCTGGGGATAAGCACAAAGTCCAGCTCATTCCCAGCTTAGCCACTTGCTAGTGATGAGACTGGGGGAGTTGTTGTTCTTCTCGGGGTCTCTGTTCACCCACTCCTTCCCAAACCCTTAACTGAGCACCAGCTCTGCAGACCCTGTGTCCTCACAAGGGCAGCTACGCAATGGGCAGTGTCTGAAGAAAGCAGCAGCGGCAACTGTGTAACAACCATTCGTTCCATGGGACAGAAGAATCAGAGCATGGTCATGTAGATTGGAAGTAGAGGCAGATTGGTGGACAGTCTGTGTCATGTAGATGGCTTGGGGGAGAGCCTTGATGATCCAAGTCTTGACGTGAGGGGAAGAATCTTGCAGATGTGTGGAAGGGGACAGAGCTGGAGCAAAGGTCCTGGGGTAAGAGTGAGCTCAACAAATAGGAGGTGGTGTGGAAAATAGGATCGGATTGTGGAGGGGTAAGAGATGGGAGGGGACACATTTTTTTTCCTTTTTTGTAGGGGAGCATTGAGATAGGATTTCTCTGTGTATCTTTGGCTGTTCTGGAACTCTGTAGACCATGCTGGCCTCAAACTTACAGAGAGTCACCTGCCTCTGCCTCCCGAGTGCTGGGATTAAAGGCGTGCACAAGCACACCTGGCCAAGAGGGACACACTAATTGAATAATATGTAAGATGGTGATACGTGCTTTTTTTTTTTAAAAAAAGGGTGTTCTCTGTATAAAGGAAGTCATCAGAATATACCCCACCCCTGATGCATCATCTGAGTGCAATCTGAGTCCAGTGAGAGGGAGCCACTGTTAACCTCTTCTGAGGGAGCCACTGTTAGCTTCTTCTGCAGAGTGTACCTTGTCCTTGCTCCCGGCCCTGCCAGACTGTCTTGTCTGAGAAGGTGGAGGGCAGGATAGTACTACAGACAGGCTGTGATGGGTAGAATTTCTGCTTGGCCACATAGTGTGGGAGCAGGGCAGGCCGTCTGGATCTCTCCCCTGAGGTGCCACATGCTGGTCCTGTGTGTGTGTGTGTGTGTGTGTGTGTGTGTGTGTGTGTGTGTGTGTCGCCATTCCTCTCCTAATGAAGTTAGGACCCCATCCACGTGTCCATGTGAGAGACAGGGTCTTACTGTATACTGTATATCTCTGCTAGTCTGGAACTCTATGCAAATCAGTGTGGCCTCAAACTCATAGAGCCCCACTTGCCTCTGAAGTGCTAGGATTAATGGCATGCACCACTACCTCCCGGCCCACCTTATTTTTTGAGACAGGCTGTCCCACTGAACCCAGAGCTCATCAGTTTGGTCAGATGAGCCCTCTGACTGGTGAACCCCAGGGACCCTCCTGTGTTTACCTCCCCAGCGATGCTTACAGATGTGCACTGCTACCCTTGTGTTTTACCTGGTGCTGCGGAACTGAACTCAGGCCCTCAGGCTTGTGTGGCAAGCACTTTACTGAAATGTCTCTTCAGGGCTTGTGCTTTTGTGTACACTCCACTCCATAAGGCTTTCCAGGCATTGGTGATGCAAACAAGGCACAGAGACACAGTGATGTAGAAATGGGCTAAGTAGATGCCATGTTTAAGTTCAGAACTGATTGGCTGCTGCACTCATGGCAACTTTCCGTGGTCATTGTTTAAAAAGCCTTTACTTGGCAAAGGAGAAAGTTGGCAGACCTAATTAGGGTCCCTCCCCCTTTTAGTGCCCTTTGTCTTCATTGCCCTGAAGTCTAAAAGCCACTGACCTAGCCTGTCCCTAAATGGACAGATGAGGGATCAGGACCCTGAGAGTTGCTGGGATCACCAAGAGTGAGTTGTCCCACTTTTGGTATGGTAATGGGGGCGGGGGGCTGGAGGAAAAGCCACTCTCCATAAAGCCAGCAGGAAGGGGACAGCCCTGGCTTCTTAGGATGTGAGTTGGGAGGAGCCAGCTGGGTCCTGGGACTGGTCCGAGAATCCCTCCCTGTACTTGCTCAGTGCTGTGTAGACTAGACATCTTGTGTAACCCCTCTGGTTGAGTTCCAGCCTGTAGAATCAGAACGTGAATGGCTGGGGGATTTAATAAGATAACACAATGTTGGCCACAGTGGATACTTTGCCAAATGACACCTTCTGAACCCAAGGAGGGGAGGCACATGCAGGTGGTTGTCCCCCTACTGTCAGCATACGGAGGTGAGCCGAGGAATCTGAGCTGCAGAAGGTCTGGCAGAGGTCACTTAGGTGCTGTCATTTCTGTCTGTCGAAGTGAGCTCTCTTTCGCCAGATGTGTGCATACGGGCTGGCATCATTTTGTGGGAAATAACATCTGGAATTTAGAAACATATTGGCACATTTTATCTGAGTGTTACTAGGTATGTGAGTACATACATGTGTATGTACATGTATGCACATGTGTGTAGAGGTCAGAGGTCAACTTTGCTCTGGAGTCTTTCCTCAGGAGCTATCTACTTTGCAATTCGGCTAGGCTGTCTGGCCAGCAGGCCCCCAGAGATCCTCCTACCTGTATTTTAGAAGTACTGGGAATTACAGGCACATGCTGTCTGACCTGGCTTTGGACTTGGTCCTGAGGATATAACTCCAGTCTTCATACTTGTGTGGCTGAGCCTTCTCTCTAACCCCTCAAACAGTGTACAGTTCTAGGTCTATTTCACTGACACTGCATGCCTAAGTGCACACAGTACAAATGCATTCAGGCTGTGGTCCCTCAGGAAATACTCAGTGAATGAATGGATGAATGGATAAATGGAGGCATGATCCCCAGGAAACTTCTTAGCAGAGTCTAAACAGTTGGATGGGAATGTGTCTGCTGCATCCATATACCTAGCTCGATACAAGCTGAGCAAGTGTGTACTAAGATATCTTGCTCCTGCCCCTGTCCTGTCAGGTGCAAGCACTTATAGATAGCATAATTTTTTGGTGTTGTTTTTTAAAGTTTTTTTTTTATGTGTATGAATATTTGCTCACATGTATGTCTGTGCACCATGTGCATGCAGTACTCATGAAGGCCAGAGAGGGCGTCAGATTGACTAGAACTAGAGTTATAGGTAGTTGTGAGCTGTCATGTGGGTGCTGGGAACTGAACCCCGGATCCTCTGCAAGGGAAGCCAGTACACTCAGATGCTGAACCATCTCTCCAGCCCTTTATTATTGTTGTTTAAGTCAGACTCTTGATATATAGCCCAGGTTAGCCTTGAACTTTCCATCCTCTTGCCTCAGCTTCCCAAGAGCTGGGATAGCTTTTTGTTTTAAGATGAGGTGAGGAGGGGTGGCTGGAGAGATGGCTCAGCAGTTAAGAGCACTGACTGCTCTTCCAGAGGACCTGGGTTCAAATCCCAACACCCACATGACAATTTAAAACTGTCTGTAACTCCACATCTCTCAGTGCTGTTGTTTAAGGCAGCTGAAATACTCAAATATGGTGGAGTGCGGCAGGGTTTCTTACTGTATGCGCATTAGTTTCCTCAGTTGTAAAACAATACCTCCTGAGGCTGCTGGGAGATCTGAAGTGAACCAGTGTACCCGAGCGCCCCTGAAGGGTGCTGTTACCTTTGGGTCCTTCCTGTGACTGCCCACAGTGTCCATCTGGTTCTGAAAGGAATATTTGTAGCTTCTGAAGGGAAGCAAAGCACACCAGGGATTAACCCTCATTTTACAGGGGAGGATGGAGGTAAGGGTAACATTAGTCAATGAACTCATTGCTCTCATGTCATCCTGCAGACTCAAGGACTAGTTCAGCCTTGTTGCTCACCTGAGGGGGAAAGTTAATGGTCTGGTGAACCCACAGAGGTCACTTGGTAGCTGTCTCAGGAGTGTACAGCTTCCCAGATCCTGGGAGCTTGGTGTCCTGAGGATAGCACAAGGCACATCCCTGAAGGTGTTCAGTCCCCTGGAGTAGAGCCCCTGGAAAGCCCTGCCTCCAAGTGGCAGAGAATACTTCCTACCACCAGGGTGACTGTGGATCTGCCTGGAGGATTCATAGGAGGCTGGGATGAACCCTGCATGGGTTGCTTATAGGTGACCTTTGCCCCCAACCCTGGCTCAGTACTGTGGTCTCACCTCTATAGGAGTTCCTCTGTGACCAGAAGTTCAGCGATGAAGAGAACCTGCCGGAAAAGCTTGCAGCCTTTAAAGGTGAGCCAGGGCTGTCTGCCCAACTGCCCCCGGAAGGACTGGCTGCTCCCTCAGCCCACAGCACACAGGACTCCTTGGCCCCACAGGACTGGGCTGCAGCTCTGATTCATCCAGAATGCTGCACTTCCCATCAGGCTTTAAGATGGGTCCCCCAAGGGGCAGAAGCAGACCTTTCCTTCCTCTGCCGCTGTGGACCCCTGGCTGCAGGCCTGATCTGGCCTTGCCCTCTGTGCCATGGCTGCCCAGCGTGGCTCAGGTTGGCTCCTCTCCTCCCATCCAGGCCCTATGCACGCCCAGGGCCCCAGCACACAATCTACCCTTTGTGAGCTGTCCTTGCATCTCCCCCTCCCTGATGGAGCCTCTCAGGAGCCCCTGTGGAGAATAGACATTTGTGTCGCTACAGCTACAGGGGGCAGGGGGGCAGAGTTTCTGCCCATTGAATCCCAACAGCACGGGATGAAAAGAAAACAGGGCTCAGGAGCCTGCACTGGGAGAGGGGCAGTATAAAGGTTCCTCTGTTCGGGGCTCTGGTGCTTGGTCCTCCGCCAGTGACTGGAAAGGAGAGGAGCCTGGGCACACAAGGAACGGGCAGACCCACCTTTCCTGCCTCTGGGGTGCACTTGGGGGATGGGAACCCTGAGCTCTACAAAGGATATCCAGGAGGTCCATCCCTCTCCCAAGTGTTTGCAGTTTGGGCATCCTTCCCAGTCCAAGGCCAAGTACCTGCCAGTGTGCCTTGCCTGCCTTGTCTGGCTCACAGCACAGTTGTCTTGGCCAGGACTTAGACGGCAATAATATTAATAATGGCCAGCAGGTGCTGAATGTCAGCCCATAGAAAGCCCTGTCCAACAACAGCCAATGTGCTCAGCTGACCCCTCTTCCCCATCCACTGGGAGGCAGAGGGTGAAACTCTTCATTAACAGACCAACAAGTTCAGGCTTGGGGAGGTAGGCTTATTGGCAGAGGGCCACATAGCTCACTTAGGACTGAGTTGAGACTTAAACCCTTGTCAGTCTGTTTCTAGAGCCCCAGGTCTCAACTGATATGACATGGAGTGGGGAGCAGGGCAGGCCTGAAGGAGAGGTATGCAAAGGACACAGGGCCCATTCCTCATTGTGGAAGGTTCTAGGAAGGAAAACAGGATCTTGGGGTCTGAAGTCACGTCTTCATTGGGAGGTAAGGCTGGGTGTGTTGAGCATGAAGTCCTAGGAAAGTATAGTTTAGTTGGAAAGGGAGAGACCCAAAGGTCCTCAAGCCATTCATTCATTCTTCTGTATCTGGGTGGGTGCTTATTGGGCACCAGGCCCGTCGCAGTGGAAGGTGAAGTCCTGAGGAGAGGCCCAGCATACCTGGAAGGACATGCCAGGCTGAGGGACCAGCTCGGGGTGGGGGTGGGGACAGGATGCCTTTCATTCTGGTTGCCCTGTGGTGCAGAATAGACCACAAGGGCCTGCTCTGCTGAGGTAGGGGTGACATGTCCAAAGCTACATAAGAGTTACTGACACTCCCTCCCCTGGTCAGAAGATACCAAGCTGGTTCTCACTACCTTTCCTTGCTGGTTTCCCTAAACCCTTGACTTGGGAGTTGCTATCTCAAGGTCAGCAGGCTTTGGGGAAGGTCCCACACATGCATCTCTGAACTGGGGTGGGCCCTGGAGCCTTCTCTCAGTTTTAGAGCCAGGCTTTCTGTACTACCTGCTCATCAGCATCTCTTGGGATACTTGGAGGCACCCCAAGGCCTGCCCCACCACCCTCTCTACACTCCTAGGTCCAAGTCTCCAAGGGCACAGTTTATTTCCCTTTGCAGCCTACTCTGAGGAATCTGCCGTCTTCCTCAGGGTCAACATAGCCCATTGCCGCCTTTCCCTTGGGGTGCCTACAAGTCAGTAGTGCAAGCAGGAATATCGTGAATTCTGGTTCTTTTTGAAAGAATTCTGTGCAATCACGGCAAAATGGCTCAGCAGACAAAAGCACTGGCCACAACCTTCCTCACCCTCCAACCTGAGTTCAATCTCTTGAACCCATGGAAAAAGGGAAGAGAGCTGACATCTCAAAGTGGTTCTCTGGCCTCCACACACATGCATGCCCAGACACACACATCATATGCATGCAAACACACGCGCGCGCACACACACACAAATAATTCAACCAAGAGATGTAGATAGTTTAAACAGAACTTGATTTATCAAGGGGAAGCAAAGCAAACATTCCAAAGAGAGATTGGAGTGGGCTTTTGCTTTGTAGACTACAAAGAAGTTTTATGAATATTCATGAGGTGGGTGGCATATTCATGGAGGAAGGAAATCAAAATCATAGTAGATCAGATCTTCATTTTAGGGTATTTCTTCCCATGAGCCTATTGAAAATCCCACAAGGGAGGCTAGTATCAACCCCATGATGCATTAATTATATATATACATATATATATATATATATATATATATATAAATATATATATACATATATATATATATATGAGAGAGAGAGAGAGATGAATAATATACATTTTATAATATAAAGTAATGTGATGACATTTGGTCTTTTGAGGATGCAGACCCTGTGTGTGTGTGTGTGTGTGTGTGTGTGTGTGTGTGTGTGTGCTCAAATGTCTGTGGGTGCCCTTGTACATTGGGAAAAACCAAACTGGAGCCTCTAGCATATTTAGCCACAAAGGAACACTGTGACCATCAGGAGACATGGCTACCAACATGCACTATAGTTGCCTCATAGCTGATTCTTGCTTACCTGGTATTAAAAGTTTTGGGATCTTCCAAAGACAAGAGCCAAGATGACAGAATTCCTGGGCTGGGGAGGGTGTCAAGGGATCTCCAAGGTTTTAGTCAGCGCTTTCTAGGGAGTCACTGGGCTCTGCAGGGAGAGCTGTGGCTTCCAGTCTAACGGCAGCTTTTGCTTGTGATTTCCAGAGAAATACATGGAGTTTGACCTGAACAATGAAGGCGAGATTGGTGAGTGAAACGTTGGTGTCAAGGTTTGAAATCCAGAGAGCCTTGCTGGCCTGATGAGGGGCACTGGATGAACTGAAGAACTCCCTAGTATTTCCCTAATGGGACCAATGGCCCAGCTACTCTGTCACAGGGGACATGGGACAATATTGAATTCTTTTCAGAAACTTCCACTGAGGGGGGCACTGGGATCTTGATTAACATAGCAAAAGAGAATTTTGGAATGCATTGTTATATGTGTATGTATGGTGTGTGTGGTGGGACACATAACTTAACAGGAGTCTGTTCTTTTCTACCACATAGGTTCTGGGGATTGGGGATCAAACAGATTGTCAGTCTTGGTGGCAGGCACTTTCACCTACTCAGCCATCATGCTAGCTATGGCCCCTTTCTTTCCTTCCTTCCTTCTGCCCTCCTTCCTTTTTTTCCTTTTTTTAAATTTTTATTTTTCAACATGGTTTTGCTATGTAGTCATGGCTGGCCTGCAATCACAGATCCACCTGTCTGTAGAAGGGTCTCCCACCATAACCGACATCACCTCCCTCTCCCTCTCCCTCCCCCCCCCATCTCGTTTTTCAAGACAGGGTTTCTCTGTGTAGCTTTGGAGCCTATCCTGGCATACTCTCTGGAAATCAGGCTGGCCTCCAACTCACAGAGATCTGTCTGCTGCCTCTGCCTCCCAAGTGCTGGGATTAAAGGCGTGTGCCACCAACACCTGGCTCACCTTCTCTTAATGGTCATGTTTGAATCCATGTTAAAACCTTTTAGTAAATTCCAAATTCATTAAAAAAATAAGGGTCGGGAGCTGGAGGGATGACTTAGTGATTAAAGGCACTGGCTGCCCTTGCAGACAATCAGGGTTCATTTTCTAGCAGTCCCATGGTCTCACCATAACTCTAGTTCCATAGGATCTATCACCTTCTTCTGGCCTCTGAGGACACAGCACACACAGTGCACATAAAGAACACTCATATACATAAAAATAAATATGGCTGGAACGATGTCTCAGCAGTTGCAGAGGACCTGAATTTGGTTCCCAGCACCCATTTAAGGTGGCTTACAGACAACTGTTACTCCAGCTCCTAGGGATCTCACACCTTCTGGTGGCCTCTGTGGACACTGTACTCATGTGTGTAAACACACACACACACACATACACACATATAATTTCTTAAAGTACAATAAAAAATAGAAAGGAAAAAGGACAGTAGTGGAAGGAGTGTAGTTTTCTTAGAGAGAGAGTTACACAAAACAGAAACCCTCAAGAGAGGAGTGGCTTAACAAGAACTATCTTTATGATTTCGGTGACCTTTGAGATGACTTTATTCAAAGGGTATAATCAATATCTAAATTTAAAAGGTTAAATAAAAATGGTTTTGCATACTTTTGATCTAAAGAATTTGTCTTTTCCTAAGTGAGATTTTTTTACAGGTTTTATGAGTGTACTATACAGACTTAACGGACTAAAAAGATAAAAGTGTAGGTGACAAAGGTCAATGCAATTCTAACCAGACACAGGTCACTAGGAGGTCAAGACATGTTCCTACTGTAAACAGGGCTTGTGATCTTGTCTGGGATATTTTTCTCAGAACAGACAATAGAGTGTGCTGGTAAAGTTAACCTCAGGGGTCACACACATTCTGACGGTGAGCATGACTGGCCTGCTGTTCTGTGTGTCTGATAGGAATCTCTCAGGGATCAGAATACTGCCTCTATGAAGGAAATCTTAAAAATGATGTTTTGTTTTGTTTTGTTTTGTTTTTGTTTTTGGTCATTCATGTTGAAAATCTTAACTCTTCTAGTATGTGACTTAAGGCATATCCTCAGGGCCAAGGGGCTCCTCTTCCTCCTCAAACCCCTTCACATTCTTTCTATCCTGCCTCAAGCCAAGACCACCCTGGTTCCTTCCATCTCTTGGCCTATTACCTCCACTATCTGAGAATCCTCATGGTGTGCCTCCCTGCTGGATTCCTCCACCTCCCACCCTGGAGCCTAGAGCTCCATCCCAGCCAGGCCTGCAGAGTCTGCTTGACTCCTGGACCAAGGGACTGCAGCTTCACTCTCCCCAGGTCTGTTTTGTGCTCGCTGTTGTCCCTTGTCCTGCAGTTGATGAGGAGTATCGACACAGCCTCTCACCTCCAGCAGAACCCATTGCTTCCTGCCGTCAGGGTACTGGGGTGACAGAGGCACAAGAGTCCCAGGGCACACATCCCGGTGGGAAACTGTAGTTTGATCTTCACCAGCAGACCTGGGCCATTGTCCTGGATGCTCGATCACCCTCAGTTTGTGGATGAGAAAACCATGACTCAGAGAAGAGACAGGATTTACTGGGCCCCCAATGTTGAGGTGTGGGCTCAACCGCAGCGTTTGCTGCTGAACAGGTTCTGTGTTGCTCTGATATTTCATTGCATGAATGGACTCAAATGCATTCAGCCAACATCTGAAGAGCTACCATTTTAGAATTTCAGACTTTAGATGAGTTCGTGTTTTTGTTTTTAGACAGGTCTCTTGGTAGTCCAGGCTGGCCTGTAACTCAGTATGTAGCTGAGGATGACTGGGACTGCCCGGTCACTCTCTGTCCCAGTGTGGGGAGTACAGGCGTGCACCAGCTTGCTCACTTTATACAGGGTAAGGGATGGAATCTAGGGATGCATGCATACTAGGCACTCTACCAACTAAGCTGTATCTTCAGCGGGTTTTTGTTTTTTCCGGCCAAGGTTGACCTAGAATTTACTATGTAACTCAAGCTGGCCTCAAGCAATCCTCCTTCCTCAGCCTTCCTGGTGCACAGGCATGCACTTACAGGCAAGCACTACCATATTTGGGTTACTCTTTCTGAGTTTTAAACATTTATTATTTTTGTTTACGTGGTGGGGCTGGTCTACTACAGCATTTGTTTGATGGCCAGAGGACAACTTGAGGGAGTCAGGTCCCTCCTTCTACCATGTGGGTTCCAGGGATCAAACTCAGTGAATCAGACTTGGCAGCAGGCAGCTTTACCCATCTTGGCTGAGCTATCTTGCAAACCTACTATTTTCTATTTTAACTGTTATTGATCAGCTCACAGCGACCGTCACTCTAGATGGATCTGGTCCCCTCGCTGGTTATCTGGAGGGTAAATCTCATCAGTGAGGAAGACATGGTAGGCCAGGGCATTCGACAGCCCCATGCCACATGTTTCTTGCCAGTTTGAAGTTTGGTGGGCAGTGTGTGTGCCCTGAGCTCTTTTCCACAGAGGAGCCTGAAAAGTCTAGCAGCTTCGGGTCTTGCACAAGTGCTGCCCGCCTCAGCCCTTCTCACAGTCTCAGGATCTGCCCCTGCGAGTCCTGGTTTGCTGATCCATTGTTCACTGTGAACAATTCCCAGGAAATAGCTTCAGATGTTGGTGGGATCCCCTGGGGTGGAGTGACTTTCTGGTGCCTCCCTTATTTTCCTTCTATTTTGTCCTTTTGTTTTCCTTCTCTGAGGGGTATTTTTGGCTCTTGTAGCCTCGGGAGAGTCCTACACCAGCAGAATGGAAGTGGCAGGTGGCAATGGTTTGTGCTGTGCTGTGCCAGAGAAAGTTTGACTTTCAGTGCCCAGGGTCAGGATAACTCCCAGGCACCTTGGCTCACCCTGACGCAGAGGACCTGCTGGGAGGCCATAGAATATATCATGTCTGCATAAGCCTAATAACCATTTCTTCCTTTTTATTTTCCTTCAAACTGACTGTGTGTATGTGTCTGCGTGTGTGTTCAAGTATGTGGGCACACATATATGTGCACCTGTGTGTGACTGTGTGTGTAGAAGATAGAGGTTGGAATCAGGGTCTCTTAGAATAGCTTTCCTGTTTGTTTGTTTGTTCGTTTTGGACCTGAGGCTTATAGACTTGGCTAGGCTGTAAGGCCAGTGAAATCTCCGGGATCCTCTTGTCTCTGTCTCCCCATCCCCGGGATCACAGGCTTGTGCCAGTGTGCCTGACTCTTTATTTGGGTTCTGTGGCTTTGAACTCAGTTCCTCATGCTTACACAGCTTACTGACCGAACCATCTCCCCAGGCCTTCCTCATTATGTAGCCTAGGTTAGCCTAAAACTTGCAGTGATCCTTTTCCCCGGCCTTCCAGCTGCTGGGGTAATCGACATGTGTCATCCATCATCCCAGAGAGGTGAAGCAGTCTTCCTCAAGCATCCCAGCCCAAGTCTGACTCTAGAAGCCCAGGTCCCCACCTACCAGCCTTTACTGCCTCCCCAGGGGAACCACCACTGGGCTGCAGCCCTCAGGGAGAGGCAGTCACAGTTAACTGTGTGGTGTAGAAATGGGGCATCTCTGGCTCCCTGCAGGGCCTCAGTGTCCTATCTCCACCCAAAAGATCTGCTTTTCCTCCTGGCAGATCTGATGTCTTTAAAAAGGATGATGGAGAAGCTGGGGGTACCCAAAACCCACCTGGAGATGAAGAAGATGATCTCGGAGGTGACAGGGGGTGTCAGCGACACCATCTCCTACCGAGACTTTGTGAATATGATGTTGGGCAAACGGTCAGCTGTCCTCAAACTGTGAGTACCTCCTCACCTCATGGGGTCTCAGAGGCAAGGGCTTTCTGTGGGGAGAGGCCCCAGGTGCAGGACACTTTGAATTGTCCCCACCCACTAACAATTCATTGTTGAGTGAAGTGCTGGAATTTTCTGAGCCTGTTTTCCTTGCCTGGAGAGATTAGCTTGCATTGGGGTGCATGGTAAACCCCAAGATTGGAGGCTTCACGAATGACAAAAATGATGGCAGCACTTCCTGTCTTTTTGTTTTGTTTTGGTTTTTTTGAGACAGGGTTTCTCTATGTGGCCTTGGCTGTTTCTGGAACTTGCTCTTAGACCAGGCTGGCCTCAAACTCACAGAGATCCATCTGCCTCTCTCTCCCAAGTGCTGGGATCAAAGGTGTGTGCTACTACTGCCTGGCTTTTTTTTTTTTTTTTTTTTTTTTTAAGTTTTTTGAGATAGGGTTTTCCCGAGTCTTAACTGTGTACCCCCATGTAACCCTGGTTGGTCAATTACTCACTGGGTAGCCCAGGCTTGCCTCGAAAGTCATGTCAACCCTCCTGTCTCAACCTCCCAAGTGCTGAAATTATAGGCATACAGTATTGTACTAGGCCTATGGTTACTCCCTCCTCCCTCCCTCCCTTGATTCCCCCCCCTCCTCCTTCCCTTGCTTCCTTCCTTTTGTATGAGATGCTTGGAATCGAATCCAGGGCCTTGTACATGGCAGGAAAATACTCTAACCAATTTTCTACACCTTACCCATATTGTCAACCCATTCTGAACCTGTTTCCTCGTTTGTAAAACATATTTCTACTCCCTTTGTTTGCTGTTAGTTGACAGGGTCTATAATCAGCTCTAGCTGGGCATGGTAGGGCACCTCTGTATTCTTAGCACTAAGGCAGTAGATACAGGAAGGACAAGAGTTTCAAGGCTGTCCTCAACTACATAGCAAATTTAAGGCCAGCTTGGGCTACCTGAGACCTATCTATCTCAAACCCCTTTCACCATTCTCTCCCTGAAAAAGTCAACTCTAGGTTTAATCCTGACACTGTTACTTGTTCCCTAATGGCCCTGAGCAGGTTATCTTTGGTCCTTCAACTTTGGCTTCTTTTTTCCTTGTGTATGCCTGTGTGTCTATGTCTGTATACGTCTCTCCTCTCTCTCTCTCTCTCTCTCTCTCTCTCTCTCTCTCTCTC